GGGGAAAAAGAAAAAAGGATTCAGACAGCAATGGTAAGGCTTGATCCATCTAGATACGGCTACAAATAGCAGAAGATATTTCCCCTTCATGAAATCAGGGGCTGTGAAGTTGTTTCACTTTATTTATTTATTTATTTACAAATTGAGATACTTCTTTATTTGAGGGAAGGATTTTGAATATGTGTGTGGCCCGTTTTTACCACACACACATATAAATGCATATATATGGAGAGAAGGAAAGAAAGCAGCATCAAAACAGCATCAGTGGAAGAGGCCAGGAAGCGACTCTGTCAGCATTACAGAGAGCAGTTTTGTTCATGATGTTCTCTACCCCATCTGCACACATATGGATAAATAAATTGCTTCACTCCCATGACAAGTCCATTGAACTCCTGCCAAACTTTATGATTCTGCATTGACCCACCAGAATTCAAAATAGATTATTTTGGAGGTAAAAAAACCCCAATGAATATAGAGGCTGTTACTCATTCTGTCTAATCATTGTTTTAATGTCAGTGAAAATGCAAATACAATGGAATATAAAATTGCACTTTCCAAATGCAGACTCATAGTTTGAAAACCTGGGGTAAGATATCATTTCTGCTGAAGTCAATAAAAAATTCTTAGTGACTTTATTGAGACAGGATTCCATACCTTAATATGCTTTAACATTAAACTGAGTGCTGCTCTGAATACCAAAGATGATTTATTGGAAAGCAATACCAGGGCATGTCATACCTACTCATTAAGATTACCTTGGCCTTATCACTTTTTCTCCTAAATGAATTTTAAAGATTAGTATTAGATGACCATTCATATTAAGGAGCCCTGTTAAAGGCAATCATGTGTTTCATACATTGTGTCGCCATTTAAAGAAAACTCTTTATATCCATTACCTAAAAAGACCAATGGACAAAGGCAGAATGGAGGAAGACATGTATTCTAAACTGTCAAATACCCCCCCCATTCTTTCTTAAACACAGGCAAAATGGTGTTTTTCTCTTCTTTTATAATCTGTTCCCAGATATTATAATTTTTAAATCAAGCCAAAGCTGGACTTTCACTGAAGACAAAACATTTTTTTTTTTTTTAAAAGAACAGAATGCAGATGTTTTATTGATGATGTGCATGCATGATGATATTGCGACTGCTTGAAACAACTGTCAGAAGAGTGGAAACAGTAATGGGTGTTAATGTGAAAGGCTGAAATCATGACAGTATATTTGCCCGCGCACTTCCTGAGTTGGTATAGTGTGGGAAAGCAGTTGCTTGGAAAGTTGTCATTATTTCCTCGTGTTGTTTGGAATAGACTTACAAACAGTCAGGTGTTACCATCAAGAGGAACTGTCGGTTTGTGGCAGTATAGCCCTTATTTTCTAGTGAGCATGCAAATAGAGTGGGAATTGTCTCCTGGCTGCTTTGGAAGTGACAGCTTTCAGCAGAAATGTTCAGACTTCATCCTTTAAATGTAGTATGCAGTTAAAGATTAAGAGCTAATCTTTCATTTCTAGTTGCTTTTGTTTTGCCAAGACTTTCTCAATTCATCAGTGACCTAATTTTTAAAAATACAGATATTGTGGCCCAGCCATGATCCAAGGCCCCAGGACAGGCTCACTTCATCCCCTAAGGACCTCCCCGTTTTCAAACCGTGAATGTGGAGAAGGAAAATTGCCCAAGTAACATGAATCTGAGATTAAGTCATATGGAAAACTGATCCTTTGAAATGGGCAGGGACCTTTCTACAGCATTTAGTGGGCTTTGGGATGGGCGTGTGGGACCACAAAGAGATTCTAAGTGTTTTTTCAACCTTTCCTTTCAGTTGTGGATGTGCAGCGGTGGGAGCACTTTACTGTGCCCCATAGGCAGTGGCATGGCTGAGCTTGCTCTCCCTGCACAGCTTTCGTGCATCCCTGTTGGACCACTTCATCATGTCCCCCGTCCCCCCCTCCAACTCTGCCCCCACTGGCATGGCCAAAACTAGACTAACTTTTTGTTTGTCTCAAGCCCTCGATTACATTTACAACCACAAATAGCTAATTTAGGGCATCGTTGCTGTTGGCAGCACTATTTTAGTTTGTATTCCTTTCTTCTGCTCTTTTGTGTTTTGTTTTCCTGAAGTATATGGGTTTGTCTTAATGTAACATCTCTGTGCAAACATATGCATCTGAGGAAGGCAAAAGAGATTTATTGCATTTTGGCTAATACAGAGGAAAGGGGAAATTGCCTACATAACAGGCGATTCAGTTTTAACTATGTCATTTCTCTCTTGTCTCCATAGTACTGAATACACAAATATAAAATATATAATCTACCTCCTCCTTCAAACATATCAACGTACAATTAAAACCCACAAAGCTTGACAACCTGTTGTCAAGTTGTTTAAGCAGTTGTTTCAGAATCTGACAGACAAACTTATAAACAAAACGTAGAGCACCAGATTGTGGGATGAGGCAGCATCATCACGTGGCTTCCTCAGTTATCTCAAAATTTGGAAAACAAAAAAGTAGAGGAATACTTTTTCTCCTTGAATAAATAACAGTTTAATTACATTATAGAAATAAAATATGATATGGTAGGAATACACTGGAAATCTTACAGAAATACTATTCTGCTACTGGTAGGTAAATGGTCAAAGCTACTTTTCATGACAATCTGAACAGTACTTGTGTACAAACTATTATACAGGTTGCTAATGAAAAATATTGCAGCAGTTGCAAGGATGTTACCAGCTGAAACAAACATCTAATGATACAATATTCTTCTAAGAGGAAGTAATAATGTTAGATTTACAGACAATAAAGAGTTATGTTCTCCACTTTGAAACACTGGAAATAAAAAGCTCAGGTAATCCAATTTCTTTACCTCATATTATCACAAGGAAAGATTTTTCCTTTCACTATAAAACAGCATCCCAAGAAACCCTGTAAACAGTTTATTCAAAGGTAGCATTTGAGATGTCACAGCAACTTCAACAATTGTCCTAATCTACAATTACAGACTTTTTAGGCCACTGCTTGTACAGATGACTTTTTTTATTTTTCACTTATTTACATACATTCGGCCCAATAACAGCAGGTAAAATGCGCTGTCTATCTCACAATAGACACACTAAAATTTTTATTGAAAGGCCAGTGCAAGTGGATAGTGATTGCACAGCATCGAGGAGATTATATTATACAAATATACAATTAGACTGTTGAGAATCTAACTCTGCACACATATGACATAGATGGTCTTCTCAGTAGATACGCAACACTTGGAGTTGGTACGTATATGTAACTGCAACTATTGTTGGTTGGTCGATGATGATGGTGTGGGTGGCCATGGAACACAAGTTATCGTTTGGCTGTGCTATCACTAAGTGAAGGTAGGCAACTGCAAACTGGGAATACCTAAAGCTGAAGTGTAAGTACAGCTTATCTTGGAACGGCAGATTTTTCTAATGAAAGAGTAGTTCTACTTAGTGTGCAACGTGTAGGGAAATTGTTGCCACCTCTTTAATAAATGGTTCCAAGTGAACTGACAGAGTTCCCAGAGCTTTAGAAAAACTCATTATGCAAATGAAGATACTGATGGCAGACAGTAACATTTCACAGGATGCTATTTCTTATTATATCAGTAAGCACCAAGTTAAGTGCCAAGACAGCCCCATTGTCCCATGATTTATCATGTAAAATTTAGAACTTGAATGCACAACGAAAGACCACGAAGTTTGCATTTAATTCACAAGAAGACAGTTTCAAAAATGGCTCTTAAAACACCTTTACACTTCACATGGGCTTTCCCTGCCTCCTCCAAGAGGACTGCTTTAGGACGGACTAGACCCAGACAGGAGAAAGATCTTTCAGAAGGAGGACTCGCACGTCCCCCGGGAATCCTCTGCAACCCGCCGGTTTTGGCTGACCACCGCGGCCCCCTCGAGAGCGTGGTGCCCCATCCCACCACCCAGGTAAGCTGCAGGGGAGGGGGGTGGAGGAGGAAAGTACCCCTGCGTCCTCCAGCCCCTGCTCAGCACCTCGCCCCCCCGGATCTTTAAGATGTGCCACCCCTCGCTGAGCCTGACCTTGGAGCCACTGACGGCCCCGCGGAGCCGCTTGTGCTACCGGCTGCTCTGGCCCGCGCTGAGGTATCATGAGAAACGCCATGGGGACACCACGGCGGCCGGAGACCCGGGGCTGCTGCCCCCCCGCCTCCCTGCGTACCCACTGAGGACGGGCGGCAGGGCAGCGCGGATCTGGCTCCACTCGCCCGGTGCCACGGAGGGGGTCACCCCTCTCGCGGCAAAGCATCGGGCAGATAACGGGCTGAGCCGCCTTTGCAGCTGTTTTGGCAGAAATCAGCCAGAAGAAGGGTGAGGAAATGGCCCAAAAAAGCAAGGCAGCAGAGGAGAGGACCCCAGACCTTCTGATGTAGAACAGAATTACAGAATAGCCATGCCTCAAAGACTATCCAGTAACATGCTCCTTGTGAAAGTCCCAGGCTGTAGAAACAATCCCACCACGGAACAGTCACCATTTTCCTTCAAGAACTTCTTCCTCAAAGCTGATAGTGTCAAACCTCGTCATCTGTATTCTGGTTTCACAGTGAGACTCAACCTCATTTCAAGCAATCAGATTTGAATACTGATGGCTTTAAAACAGATTATCATTTATTTCTGGCTTTCTCTGTTTTCAGGAACACCATTGACAGCCACTGCAGTTGTCAGTGCGGGCTCATGCCACGCTCTGCCTCTTGTTCCTCTTACGCTCAAGTACAACTGAAAGGTTGCTTTCTCTAGCACATGGATACACCTCTCAGAGTGGATGCGGATGTTCTTAATACGGTACTTTCATCAGTAATCAGTTGGAAGAACTCAATTTTAGAAACAGAATTTGTGTGCAAAGCGTGCAACAAGAAATACAGTTTACATTTGGTCATAGTGTCCTATCTTAGTTATGCTACCATGACTCACACTGATTAGTATACTTACACACACACACACACACGCACACACACACACATACACACACATAGATATTTATTTATATACACGCTCACACAATAAGAAAATGTCTAAGTCTGACAATATTTCCTCCTCTTTTAGTGAAGACGGGAGTTTGGCATCTCAGGCTCTGAATCTGCTTAAACCTGGGATACAGGAATGCGACACACTTCAAGTATACATTGACTGCACAGTGATAACATCGCACATTGAGTCTGACACATGCTGTCTTCAGTGGTCCAGCACCAGCACGTGGCTTCAAACCAGTTGCCTGTTAAAGGAGCCAATATCCAGGACCTTCGCTTTTCAGTGTTCGTGTTCACGCAACGCCCAAGAGCAGGGCGATAGTCTGTAAAACCATAAACGTCCTTCTGTATAAATGCAGTGGTATTTAAAAGTCTGAACCAATGCATTCCTCTCTTACTTTCCTCCTCTATTCCTTTGTTGCTGTTACGCTCGTATGCATGTGAAAGTATAAAGGTAGTGGGGAAATAATTTTAGTAGAACACAAAGCCTCTCCTCTAAGTCCACAGAAGACCACTAAAAGTGTAAAATTTCCAAAATAGCTCATAGGAATTCTTCAAATACAGTAAGTGTTTTCAATGGGGTTTACATATCACATTTCACATTACTTCCACGGAAGTCTACCTTATCACTTTGTTTAATCAGACAAATATCAATAACACAGAATAAAACAGCATACAATTCACAGGACACGACACGTTTTACAAAACCTCTAAAACTCAGCACTGCCGCTTTTGGAAAAAATCAAAAACTCTTATTACTTACAGACGTGAAATACACTTCACATTGAAATGAACAGCATGATTACAAGGCTTTTTTTCTTATTTCGTGGTATTGGTTTAGGATGCATTAGTTTTCAATTAGGTTTCACAATTTTTCTTCACAACCCCAAAAGGAACCGTTGCTAACCTGGTATTTTCTCTGTGCTCTTTCAGGAAACTTACTATTATTCAGTAAACACTTTTTGAGAAAAAAACTTTTGAAAATTTGAATCCCTAATTGTAAAACCTGAAGAACTGGCTGATGGTAATGCTCTTAACACAATCATTGCTCAGCTTACAATGACAAACCAAAAAAAATATTACAGGAGGGTACAAACACGTTAAGCCACGGGTTTGGTTTTCTCTGTTGTTATTTTTTTTTTTTTTTTTAAACTAACTCCTTTTCTCGCAATGCTGAGAAGTCTGTGACTTACAACGCTTCGGCAGTTGTGTCCGTGGAGACAGACATGGTAACTTTGGCAATCTTAACTGTGCTCTTAATGCAGCTCTCGGCAGCCCTGTGCACATTCCCCGCGTTGTTGGCGTGTTTGTGCTGGCAGTCAGACTCCATGCTGTTGTCGAGGGGCTGCGCAGTTCCTTCGCAGGTGGGGAACATGCTGCGGAAGGCGTGTCGCAAGTCCTTGCTCCTCAGAGCGTAGATGATGGGATTCACTGTCGAATTCAGCAAACAGAGCATGCTACAGAAGGCAAAGACAGTCTTGATGAGCTTGTTCATTTTCCCAAAGACATCGTACACCATGATGGCGAGGAGAGGGCCCCAGCATATGATTAAAACGACTAGGATAAGGACCAAGGTTTTGGCTAACCTGATGTCCATTCGAGTTTGATCGGGCCTAGTGATCTGTACCTTACCATCCTCCGTAGACTGGATGATTATGCTTTTCTGTGTGCCCCGCTGAATCATGCGAACAGCGTGGCTGTGAGCCTTCCACAGTATGTACATGTAGGCATAGACAATGAACAGCAAGAGGATGCTGGTGACCCCGATCCAGAACATCAGGTATGTCTCATCGATGAGAGGGAATATGTCCGAACAAACAGAATTGAGCTTTTTGCAGTTCCAGCCGAGCAGAGGAAGAACAGCTATTACAATAGCGATGGTCCACATCACACAAAACGCTACGACAGCCTTTGGTCGGGTAACAATCCTTTTGTAAGCTAGTGGCCTGTGTATAGATATGTACCGGTCTATTGCCGTGAGGAAAAGGCTACCTACGGAGGCGGTGAAGGAGGCTGTAACTCCACCCAGTTTGAACAAGAAGACGTTGGGGCTGTCCTTCCGGTGGAAAACATGGAAATCCACAAAACTGTAGACAAAAATCACGCTGCCCAGGAGGTCGGCCACAGCCAGGCTGCCAATGAAATGGTAGGAGGGTCTACACCGGAGGCTTCGGGAGTGGAGGATGACGCACAGGACGAGGAGGTTCTCCAGGACCGTGAAGGTGCCCAGGGTGAGTGACAGCACGGCAATGGCCAGCTGCTGGCTGGGGTTCAGGATCATAAAGCACTCCATATCCATGAAGTTCTCCCCACACTGTATGTTCTCCTCATTATCCTTAAGCGTGGACAGGGACTTGTTGTAAAACTCTGTGATGTTGACCTGATCGGAGGGAATAATGCTCAACAGGGGATCATCTCCCGCAGTCATTTTTTCTTGGAAAGGATCACCCCTGAAGGAAGAGAGGGGGAACTTCTGGGGGTAGTATCCCAGCTTGGATGCCATGTCGCCTTTCATGTCTTCGTACTGGATATCGTTGGAGCCCACGTAAAGGAGATCTGTCGTGATTGTTCGGAAAGTTGTATCTGCGAGGCCATCTAGGATTGACTTCATAACCCCAGTCTTGTTGGTTTCAGAAGGACTTGGGGGAGGGAAAAATGCATTGGAGGAAATCCTAGAAGGGGAAAAGATCAGACTTCATTAAGATAAACAGGGAGACAAACTCCACAAACAACTTAGTTTGACTGTGTCAAACAAAATCAACCTTTTGCTTGTATTCAGTGCAGGCCTAGCCTTTGCCACCTGTGGGAATCCGGGTGAGTCGAGCACTTAGAAAGAAATCACCTGGATTTCACTAAAACTGAGTTACACTAAGAAGCGACGTGAAAAACAGAGGCACAGGGAACTGAGTATTCCACAGGAAAGTAATTTTCATTTCTCATCAAAACCTTCTGAGCCACTCCACCAGAAAGGTATTTTTCTCTAGATCTGAACTTGGCTTCTGATTGCAAAGTACCTTGCTGACCAATATTCCTTTGGCTTGCTTCATTTAGATAATACCAAGGTGCCACTGCAAGAGCAGCATTAAACTGAATCATCACCTTCATTGCTTTTCTTTCAAAAGGCACCGAGGGTTTTGAAAACCTGACAACAGAGAGGGAACAGGGAAAGAGCCATGCACTCTTAAGTTTCACAGTTCACCCCGTATGCCTGTATATTCAGATTAGCCTGTTACAGCAATCTGAGGTCTACTAACATCCTGCATTTGTTATTGCAAATTTATTAGCAAGGTACTTCATCCACAAAAAAAGGGATCTAGATATAGCTTCATTACTCTAGTCCTTCCTTCTGCTAAGCAAACCAAGGTAAATGGGATGTTTGGGCTATATGGGGGAGGCGGGTTGTTACCCAGCCTTGTCCGCAGTTTCAGGAAAGGTGACCAGCACTGCTAAGTCAGCGAGTGCACCAGTGATCCGTTCTGCATAGATCAGAAGCCTCAATCAGGGCAGTTCACGCTTGCCTAGAAAAACATGGTGCCAAGTTTGGGTCAGAGTGCAGCTCTGGCCAAAACTCCAGGCAAAAGGGACCAGGAGCCACTGCTCCTGTGAGAAGCATGGAAATGTAACTCGTCCCACTGGGGACACCCTCAAAAATATTCTGTCCCCTCAGAAAGGGGGAGCCCAGCAGAAGGTCCTTGGGTACCCAGTGGTCTCTGAGTCCCATCATGCCCAGCCTTTGCTCATGGATGGTGATTAACTGCAGGCTGCAATTCCCGGTCAGGGTACCCTTGAGAGAGCACCCTCATCAGCATCTGAGCATCTTACATGCATCAACATGTAAGACAGGTCTTACAGCTCTTCTCATGCTGTGCTCTTTTATATAACTTTGCCCATGTAACATGTCTTGAATATGCTCTGAACATCTGCTTTAGGGCCCCCTTCCACTGCCAGAGTGGCTGAGAGTGGTCTGAATGTAAAGAAGACCCAGAATCACTGCTTTGGTGTGCTACAGCTATTCTGCATCTGCTATGGGACACCTTGAAGATTACATCAGCAACAGGAGCAAAACCAAGCTTCTTCATGCTTTGAGAATGGAGGAAATTGTTTGTGACACTCAGGAAATCCCAGATGCCACATATAGGCTTGTACTGACTTAACCTGTTCACTTTACACAACTCACAATAAATGGCCAGAAAGGCCACGAAGGATTATCTGCCAAAACCCAGAGTACTGATCACCCCAACTCCTAAAGAGGAAACTTGCACAGTAAGTACCACAGCTGTTTTCCCATAAAAACTGAAAGAAAGAAGAAAAGGGTTCCTCTCTAGAACAATACCAACACTTAAAAACAGAAGAAATCATGCGCATTTCCAAAACAAGCAGAGATCATTTGGCTGATGAGATATTTATACTGCACTTACACATAGCATCTGAACACTCATGACTTTTTCCACAGTTCTTTAAAGTTTTGCATTTGATTCAGCAGGTCTGGACACTGAGTATTAAAGGGAATATATGAACCTAGACATCCAGAAGACACTGCAACTCCAGTGCTGCAAACAAGGATGAGTACAAACAAGCCTTACCGGGATAGTCTAACACACAATACACACTGGCTGTGTCAGCTTTTGCAGACATCGTTTGCTCAGCAAATAACAACATAATTATTAGCGAGACAGACAGTATTAAGGAATTTAATTTTGAGGGTGTGAGCAGTCAGGGAAGGAAATGTGACTGAAGCACACATTAAAAATGAACAGCAATAATCCAATACATAAGGTGCTTTTCTTCCAGAAGGTGCTTTACAGCTGTTCCTAGGACAATTTACAGATGTTACATGTTGCAAAGATGACCCTGCTGACAGCTGACAAATCTGCTTTGGGTGAAGTCTGGCAACTTTAAACTTGGCATTGTAACACTAATTTAAAACCAGAAGTGACGAATGTGTTATTCATTTGAAAACTACCCAAAAAATATTAAATCAAGTAGTTCTAAAAACACGTAAAGATGGCTGTGGTATTCTCTGTTATTCCAGCTTATTTCTGACAGAAGAAAGACAATCATTTCAATGATTAAAGCCACAGCCCCATGTCAAGATGATGTTCGAGTAAAGCTTCAAAAATTGTATGCAACTGAGCACTTCTGCTAGACAGACAAACAAATTGTTAGGAGGTAGCTGGTTCCTGCCGGAGTCATGTAAGTATAGACTTCCTCAGAATAAGGTGCAAGCCGCCGTGCAACCCCTACCTTTGTTTGAAATACAAATGAAAGAACACAAATTCCTGTGTGCTCTTTTGAAGGTGGCAGTGAGTTATGTGACAATATCACTATGCATGCATATGCTATGCTAACAACACTGTTAATGGGATCAGGAGACGCAAGTCCTACTCTGAATTTCAATGATTTTTTTCCCTCTGTATTTTTACATTGAGATTATTACAGTAATTTCCACCTGATTTTCTCTGCAAAGAGAGTTTTGTTTGAGAGTACTTGGGAGTTCATTAGTGGTGTAGTTTAGGCTTTGGGGGATGCAGCTGACATTAATTTTGTTTTTGTTTGCTGCTGGGAATATCATAATTGGAAATTTCTAGCAGTATGCGTGCATGCACCTATTCAAGTAGCAGTTGATTTTTATTAAAGTTGCAATAAAACAGCCATTCGTCCATTCTGGAATTGCACTTTACTGAAATTTTGTTTATTTTAATTTAGATACTGGCTTGTCCCGGTATAAGCTACAATACTGAAAGGCACTGAAGCGATCAGCGAGGTTTTCCACAGCTGTCTAGTGAAAACAAGACCGGGCTTTTGGCACTGCAGTTGTCAGGAGAGTCCAGGTCACAGTCTGAGGTGTTGCACGATTTGACACAGACTGAAAAGCCAATGGCAGAACCAGCGGTCTAGTTCCTAGTCTTTTCGTTTGGTCAGGTGCACGTGCCAGTGCCGTACAAATTTTGGCTCTGAGCTCTTCTGTCCGAACCTGGAGTGACGAGCAGGCAACAGGACAGCCCACGCCACGTGGCCACACTGCTCTTTGCAGTTGGCTTCAAACCAACCCGACCCGATCCTGCTCAAGACCCATGACCATCTCTACATGAAATACCCTGGGAGCCTCTGTGGCTTCTCACAGCCTCCCTCGAGGACAAGGGTCCCCTGCACAGCTCTGTCCTCTCTGGACGGGCTGGGGAGATGGCCGTGTGCTGCAGCCAGGTCCCCTACGCCAAGGGCGGCAGCGAGGGAGTCAGCGGGCCTTTGAGTCCGCTCTTCCAACACAGCCTTGGAGTCTCCAAAGCTCTCCGCTTCATCCCTTCCTTAAATGAGCTCTACCACCTCACTCACTTTAAAACAGCTTTAAAAAGAACTGAAGCATTGATTAAAGATGAGGAAGAGCCCGCGCTGATGCCGGCACTCAAAATTTTCGATATATTTCCATGACTGCATGCAGCAATTCGCAGCAAGTAATGAATTATGATTACGGGTAAGGATTAAACAACGGATACAACATTTCAAGCATCTTTTATCTTGAAGACCAAAACCAGAAAACCCGTAGCTGAACACCATTTTAGACTTTTCTCCCATCAGCGGGCAGCTGTTGATGGGCACTGCCGGACCAGCTGTGCAAAGGGACTGCCACTAGATGGAGTGGCTTTTACAAACACACGGCTAAGCTGTCTGCAGAGACCTGCATTTAACCTCCTCCAGCCCTTTCTTCCAGCCTGCTTTACCGGGGTTCAAACACAGGAGGTGTTAAACATCGGTTGAAGACACAACTTTGTAAGGCTCTGCCCTCAAAGCAAAAGAACCAGTGAAGAGGTGAGGGGGCAAGTCTTAGCACTGCCCTCTGCTGTGTGGTTACATACAGCCTTAAAAAAGCTTGGATGCTATCTGAATATGAAGACCCCTTAGGTAAAATCTAAAATATGTGATACGTAAAAGGCTGCTAACTCGGCTCGGACAACACGGGGAATTATACCTCCCCTGGACTTCTCGTTGGTCCACAGGACCAGTTCACTCGAGGAACACAAGAATGCAACTTCATTAAAATGCTATTACCTACCTTCTCCTGTTGTTCTGGGGGAGAGGGAGGGCTGGAAAGTTTTTATTGTTGTCTAAAGAAAGGGAAGAATTTATTATCATATTCCAACCAGGATGATTGATAGAGCAATTTTAATAGCCTGAATAGAAATAGTGAATATTTGCGTTCTTCCTTGGAAAGTAATTATGAGCAATACAATGATGCTACCGATAACTGCAAAAATGTTGACGTGGCAAGAAAAGGAATCAAAACAACAAAGGGAAATCTGCAATCAAACCCTTCTAGCTTCTATTTTAGAAAATATTTTGATCTCTATGTCTATACATTTCTTCTACGATACCCACAGCTAATTAAGAACAGGCTAAAGGACAAGTAGGTATAATTGAAACATAGTTTTTGAATGCATAAAAATATGTAAATGCATTCTCTTTGCTTACACGTTATAAGGCTTGTAAGTCCTTCAGAGAAGAGCTTTATCTTCTAAGTTCGCATAGTGCCCAGTACACTGGGACTCCTACCAAACTGGCTCTGCAAAGTACTACCACAGGAGAAACAGCAGTAATTTATACTCCTGCGTAGTCAGCTGAGAGAAATGAGATCTACCATAGTAACTGTTGGCCTCCAGGAATTAGAACTGTCCTATAAAATGAAAATTTATATGGCTAATAATTACCTTATCCCATATGGCAATGAATGATACTGCTTCGAGGACAGAACAAGGTTTCTAAGCCTTGGAGAAAGAAATGTGCAGTCTGAGAAATGGCACTCAAAGGCTCGGGAACACCGAGCAAGGAAAAAACACATGTTGAAAAGAATGTGAAAGCAATGTTACCCCTATCCTATTTACTGTTTTACTACTCCATCTCCAACACTGTGCTACTCCTAGGCTATAAACAGCAAATACGCTGTCACTCCTAATTCAGGAAAACTTGCATTCACTTCCGTGGGAATTTTCTCTGCATGAGGGATCGGGAAGGACCACAGACACTAGGAGAGGAGCAAATGAGGGCTGCTGTCTTCCAGTTACAGCAAGGCACTACTGGCTATGGGGTAAACTAGGGCATGCAAGTACTGAACCAAATTTTGTTCTTATGTAACGTGATGATATCTTTGGCAAGTTGAACCTTAATTAGCAAGCAACAACAGCTACATGGTTATGTTAGTTAACGTACCATTTGCACGCTAGCAGGATAGGGGCTGAATTGTTCTAATTTGGGGGCAAACTGCCCCTATGTGACACCCGCCAGCATCCAGCAGCTGACAATCTGAACGGCAAAAACAAAACAAGGGGGAAAACAGAGCATTAATCAGTGACCGACAATGTTTTTAAAAGAAATAACATTATTTCCTCCCTCCAAAGTTTTGTTGGCGAGATGTGTGTACCAGTTTTACCACAGGTGACGTGCAGGCACAGAGAAAAAAGGCTGTGCCTTACCTCCCAAACAGCCGGGGCATATGCATCTGTCTAAGATCAGAGAGGTTCAAAAGCGAGGTTGAAGTCCTGGTTTGGTGCGGGTGAAGGACCCGAACTTTGCCCTCCTGCAAGCCAGGTGAGCGTGCTGGCAGCCTCTCTGTTCTGCCGCCCATCTCTAAACCGCTCCAGTTGTTCCACGTGGGATCATGAGTTAAACATCCAGAAATAAAGGCACTAACTGATATTCCAGCAGGCAGGGTGCACGCGTTGTGACTGAGAGGCTTAGATTGAAGCCCCTTCTCTGAATTAAGCAAACCAAGGATGTGTCTCCCACATCCCAGCCAGCTGCAGGGGGAAGAGCAGGGACAGCTGCCCCACCTGCCTGTGAAAAACCCCCAAAGCTCCTGAGTTCACTTGAAACCCCCCAGCTTGTGAAATACACTGCCGACGCCCCCCCCCCCCCCCCCGCTCGCTTAG